TTTCGTTGGTTAATCATGTTTCACATGCATTCGACTTGTTAAATGAACGTTAGTATAATTTGTGGCGTTCCGAATCAAAGGAGAGACGACACGTCCATTCGAATTTCCAAGAAATTAGCGGATTCCAAACCTAGCTGTAAAACTTTAAATATTGCTTTACGTACGTAAATGTATAATAATTATAGTTTATCTAATTATTTGTAAGTGTATATGTGTATATGAGTGTGTGTGTGTGTGTGTGTGTGTGTGTGTGTGTGTGTGTGTGTGTGTGTGTGTGTGTGTGTGTGTGTGTTTAGTAGACATTCTTGTTTGGCAGTTTTCGCATGTTGATTTAGGGACGTGTTACATACATTCCATTTGTTTTTTCAATTATGGCGGCATTTGTAAAGTCATCATATATATATATATATATATATATATATATATATATATATATATATATATACACACACACACACACTATTTACATTGTTCGGACTATCGTCCTCATTTTTGTTGCCATATTTATCACAACGTTTCGGCTGTTGTACGATCCGGTCTTCTTCAGGTGGTTGGATTGTCGAACTGAACCCTTTATTTCTCTCGTTGGTGTAGCCTGTTCTAGTTCCACGTGCCATGTCTAATGGATGTCAGTTATCAGTTATCTCCTGTTAATTCCCCTCTCCAAGTTCTCTACTGCCTTAACCTGGTACTGAATTCACACTCTTTGGGTCTTGTCACTGAATCTAACCAATGCCTTTATGCACTTCGCCATGTATCCCTGACAACAAAGATGACAACGATAGTCCGAAAAATGTAAATAGTGTACATAATACCTCATCTCAGAAAGATAGACTGTTATATATATATATATATATATATATATATATATATATATATATATATGAATGAAAACTTTGCTTTCTCCATGAAAGTATAATAATTATAGTTATATCGGGCATATATTGAGGGTTTGTTGAAATTATTAAATGCTTTCTTTTATACACGTTTAATGTAGATATTAGGTAACGTAGAACCCAGGGGTGAGCCCATCGTTATGCCATCAATTTGTGTGTAAATGTTACCATAGTGATCGAAAAGTGGTATTTGTATGGTGCAAGACATTAGGAGTTTCCGTAAAATATTTGGTCTAATATTAGTAGTGACTTTAGGGTGATTGTATAAGTTTTACTATTTTTATTATTTTGTACTATTTCTATAGTTTGTTTAACAGGAATATTAGTAAACAAATTTTCAACATCTAACGAAATGAGGATACCATTGTTAGGTTTATTAGAATCTAATATTATTAGAATAAGAAATATGTCACGAAATTCGTTAGTGGAACCAAGGCTATATTTATTAGATAAGTAAGGTTGGACTTGTTTGTTTAGCGTTTTAGATAAGTTACATATGAGATTATGAATCTGATATATTATGGGATGTACGATCTGAGTTTGGTTGATGGATTTTAACATTTCCGTTTAAATAGCCGGGATGACATTCATCCACAAGTTTCATTGATCCTATTTCGACGTTGTTAATTGTAATCAGTCTATTTATTTGCGTCTTAAGAAGTTTAGTGTTACTTTTCTTTAATTCCTTAAATATGTCTGGATTATTGAGGATGGAATCAAATTTTTTATTGCAGTCTATTCTATATTATATTATATTATATATAATAAACAATAATCCGGTATATATGAGCGACCATGACTGGCAGTTGTGATCAGTCACGTGTACACCGAATTATTGTTAAATATTGTTATCATTACGTCTTCCTTTCGGGTAGAAAAAGACTGTAGTTCAATTGTTTTATCACCTTCTGGGGTCTGCACTTCCCATGTATATCTGATATATAACAGTATAACCTCTCTTTGACCGGGTCTTCCATTACTGGGAATTTTTGCCGTTCAGTTGGAGCAGTTTAAGTTTGACGTCATCCCGCCTGAAAATCAATATTAGTAACTACATTTTGGTGCAACTGAGGTACATCCCCAAATGATGGGTTAACAATTTAAATGGGGGGGGGGCTGAAAAGGGAACTGTGTAATAATAAATCGTAAACTATTTATTTTTTATTAAAGTTTTTTATTTGATATATATATATATATATATATATATCCAAGAACAGATTGTAAATAGTAAAACGTTGCTAAGAGTTATAATGGACAGGAAGTAGTAGAGAGCCATTGTCGCTAACAATTAGGCCTCAAAACTGGCAATGAAGAATAATCTATCAAAAAAAAAATCGGATGAAAACTGTGGAAATGCATAAACAACTTCCGATCACACGGACAGACAGACATACACACATTTTTAGAATTATAGATATAGATATTTTCGGAATTCTTATATTCCTGGTCTAAGCGGATGTATAAACAATAATAAATTTTTATGTCTATTTTTCAACTTAAAACAGAATTAAAAAAATGCTATATCCAAAGTTAATGTCTTGAGAAAAGTATAAACAGGAAAATTATAATACTTAACGAATATTAATAGGTTTTTGATATAAATTTTTATTTTTAGAAAAAATTCGGTTTAATTATTTGAGTCGCGCGCTATAATTTTTCTCGTCATAAAGATTAGAAATGTTTTTGGAAAGCTCAAGCAGAAAAAATTTTGGTTGTAAATAAAACTGGATGTGGAAGAAAGAAGAAACGATCATCCAGGACAGAATTTCTAAAAAGTTTCTTGGGAGTTTTGAAGTAATAATACTATATGTTATTCTGCTTTCACAATTGAATACATGGTAGATGATACTCTGATTTTGTACATAGACATATTTGTGTGGATTTAATTACGAGATTGATATATTTGTTCTATGTTGTAGATTTGTTGAAGTTATATTTTGGAATACAGTTTGGTTTCTTTAAGAAATTTCATATTATATGGATTAATGCCATGAAAGAGCTCTTTCATGTTGGTTGATTGGTTGGCTTTGTTTAGCGGCATATCAACACCTCTGTGGGGTATTTAAAGCGGAAAACAATTTGGGCACACTTTTATGGCTTCAACTAAATATGTAATTTTATGCCTTCAACTACAGATGAAATGTGTTATGGGCCATTTTACTATAAATATGAATTGTTGGTCATTTTTTATATAAAATACGTTGCTGCTATTTTTATTATAAAATGCATTTTTTACTTTTATAGTATCTTGTTTTTGTTTGAGGGCTCACTATTTGCTTATAGCTGGAACCCTTAGAGTCGTTACCACCCCGTGTTAGGGTGGATCTAGGAACAACTGGAATTAAGAGGTGGTTCCACGCTCCACAAAACTTCCAGTCTCCCGATCAGAGACCTTGCTGCTGGATGTAGTTTATCGTCATACCCAGGACGAACAGTTCAAAGGTGGTTCCAAGCTCCCCAAAACCTTCAATTTCCCGATCAGAGACCTTGCTGGCGGATGTAGTTTATCGTTTGGCGCATAATGACAAGATATTTGATTGCAGACGTCAAGACGTGGCTTTCAATCCAAAGAACATTGTTCTTAGAACAAACCATAGAGTAAGGTATATAGTGATATGGACGTGTTTCTCTGCAAAAAGATGTAGAGTATAGCTGTATAATGAAAAATAGAATTATTGTGAAAGATGTCAGTTTGAAAGTGTGTTAAAAATTTGCAGCTGAAATAAAGAAGCTTTATCAGGGACAAGAATCAAAATCCCATTTCTAAATTATTTCAGAAATATCATCAGGATATGAATATAAACTTTTTAGCTTAGCTTAGAATCCCGAACGAAATCCAATTTAAAGATCAAATTGTAGCTATTTGAAAATTATGCATATGAAATGTGGCAAAATATCCCAGCAGATGTCCGGGCTAATTTAAAAAAGGTTTACCAAAAAAGATTAGAAAAAGTTACTAAAAAAAAGCAGGTCAAACGAACAATTGACTTTATCGCACATATAATTGTTTTCTTTTTTATCAAAATGAATTATAACGAAAGAAAGTGTTTATAGATTTACTAAACTTTGATTTTCATTGCTACTCAATTAACGATAAATATTTTACACACACACACACACACACATACATATGTATATATATTACAGCAAAAAACAAAATTTACCTCAACATAGGTATAATCTATTTCAAACGGTTCTTCACACGGCTATCATCAGCCTCTAAGTGCTTGTCTCGGAGTGTCAGTCTTCCTCTTGTCGACGCCTTGTTAATGAGAGTGGGTTTCTGTTTGCGATTGGTGGGGACGTCAGTTTTAATAATTAATGTTACTAGGATCCACCCGGATTATATACCAACGGCTCGATTACCTGTACTCTTTATATATATATATATATATATATATATATGTGTGTGTGTGTGTGTGTGTGTGTGTGTGTGTGTGTGTGTGTGTGTGTGTGTATTTCAAGTGTCGGAAAAAATCTGTGTTTAAAGCCATTTTACATCTTTAGACGAGATGTCAAAGCACATCAGATCTAATGACGGTTCCGAGTTCGGATAGATAGATAGATAGATAGATAGATAGATAGATAGAATGACAGTTTAAAAAAATCTTAGTTTTTGCCGACGTATTTCGTCTTCCGACTTTATCAAGGCAAAAATAAAAGGGAAATGTTCGTCGGAAACCGAAACGCGTCGACAAAAAGTAAGATTTTTTTTCAAATTGAAATGCTCATACCAATTTGTCTTATCCACAGAATTATTCTGGAAATTTTACTAGATAGATAGATAGATAGATAGATAGATAGATAGATAGATAGATAGATAGATAGATAGATAGATAGATAGATAGATTGTAGCTGTGATGCTGGGGCAAATATGAAAACAGACAGATTGTGTTCTATTCGATGAAGGCCTTCCAAAATGGGGATTGAGTTACCGGCTAATCTGAAGTGTGTGTGCCCAAATTCTGTCCAGGGTACATCTTCGAAATCCTTCTTGTTCATTCGATTTCCATAGAGAAATATAAAGCAACCTTTCATCCACTGTGAATTTGATCATTAAATAAATATTATAGGCTCATCCAATGGCAAGATACTGCCGAATCAATGGCTCCAGGACAAAATGTGTCTTCTGAGTCATGTGAAATTAAGTCGAGACCACGCAACCAGTTCTCCAGATATTCAAAATACGTGCGTAAGTATGCAGAAAATAGAAAACAACACGTTGGGTGCATAATCCGGGGTTCCTTAGTATTTTTGTTTTTATTTTTAAGAAGACAGTGCTCCATACAGAAGTAGAGCTTATATTATAATAATATTTTTTTTTTTAAAGGAATGCGAATTGCGAAGGAATCATATTTTTAAACAAAAAAATATTATTATAATATATATATATATATATATATATATATGGAAAATCTTTTCTTCATATATAAAAATTATATATCGTTATCCCATATATATATATGTGTGTTGTGTGTGTGTGCATGTTTACATGTAAGTATATATATATATATATATATATATATATATATATATATATATATATATATATATATGATTGCGTCTAGCACGAAACAGTCTTTCCCTTATGAGTGTTGACTTCAATGCTCACTTTTATATATATATATATATATATGTTTTCATATTAATAATTTTTTATACAAATGGTTCTGTATAGATACACTTTTCTTTTTCTTCAAAATCTTTTTTTCTTTTCTTGCTCTCTTCTCTCTCTCTCTCTCTCTCTCTCTCTCTCTCTCTCTCTCTCTCTCTCTCTCTCTCTCTCTGTCTTTCTTTCTTCTCGCTTTATCACATTATTTTTTGCTTCTTTCTCTCCTTCTTTTCTCTTACTTTACTCGTTTTTCTCTCTCTCTTTCTTTCTATCTTTCTATTTCTATTCTTTCCGTCTTTCTTTTTCACTTCTCTTTCTCTCTTTCTTTTACTCTCCTTTCGCCTTTTTCTTCACTCGTTTTACTCTCTTTTATCTTCTTTGTCACTTTCCTCTCTCGTCCTTGTCTCGCTCCTATCTCTTTCTTTTCTCTTTCTCTCTCTTTCTCTTCTCTTTTTCATTTCTCTCTCTCTCTCACGCCTCCCTTCTTACTCACTGAAACTTTTACCCACATTCATGTTAAAATATCAACAGCTAACATACGAAAATCCCTGGAAGCCTTTCCCTCTTCTCTTATTTCTTCCTACCCACCCCAACACAGACGAGCCAATCGAAAATTAGACATTCTGGGCGACGCCGACCGCCGTTTACAAGCCTGACTCTTCTTTTACTGAGAGATTTTAAATCGACTACTAAGTCAATTTTCTAAAAAGCTTCTTTGTTCAGCCATTTCTATTGTAAGGCGTTGATGTATTGAGCTCTTTCGACAAAATCCCAGATTGCAGTACGCAAGCTTTAAATTGTTCCACCCAAGAAGGAAACTGATATGTGGGATGACTTATTATCAATCCAAGAGCTATTTGCGCAATTAGCATTCAAGAATATCGCATGCAAATATGGAAAAGAATCCAAGAGCGAAATTGGCCGACCTTTCGAAGTCAGAGTATAAAAGCACAGGAAAGTCGTATCTAAGAGTGAAACAAAAAATCAAATGAACTACCTCACTTTGTCAGAGAGGCTCGGCTTAGTTATCCTATTATAACTGTGCTCGTCCCTCTCTGCATTAGTTCACAAGACCGTTACACCCTGCCAATACCTAAAAAATAATGAACTACTCCGTTTTGATCACGTGGAAAGACAAAAGACTTAGATGAGAGGGCAACTACAACCCAGATATGACGGCAACGCCAATTTTACATTTTTTTGTGTGGGGTTTTTTAATCCGGCTTCTACAAAAGGAAGCAGATAATTCTAAGGGTGGTACAAGACAAAAAGAAGCAGGTAATTTAATGGGTGGCACAAGACAGAAGGAACCATTTACATTATGGGGTGGTACAAGACAGAAAGAACCAGGTAATTTATGGCGTGGTACAAGACAGAAGTAACCAGTTAATGTATGCAGTGGTACAAGACAGAAATAACCAGGTAATTTATGGGGTGCTACAAGACAGAAAGAACAAGGTAATTTATGGGATGGTACAAGACAGAAGGAACCAGTTAGTTTATGGGGCGGTACAAGACGGAAGGAACCAGGTAATTTATAGGGTGGTACAAGACAGAAAGAACCAGGTAATTTATGGAGTGGTACAAGACAGAAGGGACAAGGTACGTTATGGGGTGGTACAAGACAGAAAGAACAAGGTAATTTATGGAGTGGTACAAGACAGAAGGAACCAGGCACTTTATGGGGTAGTACAAGACAGAAAGAAACAGTTACATTATGGGGTGGTACAAGACAGAAAGAACCAGGTAATTTATGGGATGGTACAAGACAGAAGGAACCAGTTACATTATGGGGTGGTACAAGACAGAAAGAACCAGGTAATTCAAGGGGTGGTACAAGACAAAAAGAAGCAGGTAATTTATTGGGTGGTACAAGACGGAAGGAACCGGGTAGTTTATGGGGTGGTACAAGCAAGAAGGAACCAGTTACATTATAGGGTGGTATAAGACAGGAAGAACCAGGTACTTTATGGGGTGGTACAAGACAGAAGGAACCAGGTACTTTATGGGGTGGTACAAGACAGAAGGAACCAGATAATGTATGGGGTGGTACAAGACAAAAAGAAGCAGGTAATTAATGGGGTGGTACAAAACAGATGGAAAAGGTAATTTATGGGGTGGTAAAAGACGGAAGGGGCCAGGTAATTTATGGGGTGGTACAAGACAGAAGGAACCAGGTAATTTAAAATTGTAGTACAAGACGGAAGAACCAGGTAATTTAAAAAGGGTGGTACAAGGCAAAAAAGCAGGTAATTTATTGGGTGGCACAAGACAGAAGGAACCAGTTAATTTATGGGTTGTTACAAGACAGAAAGAACAAGGGAATTCATGGGGTGGTACAAGACTGACGGAACCAGGTAGTTTATGGGTGGTACAAGACAGAAGGTACCAGGTAATTTATATAGTGGTACAAGACAGAAAGAACCAGGTAATTTATGGGGTGGTACAAGACAGAAAAAAAAGGTAATTTATGGGGTGGTACAAGACAGAAAGAACCAGGTAATGTATGAGGTGGTACAAGACAAAAAGTAGCAGGTAATTAATGGGGTGGTACAAAACAGATGGAACAACGTAATTTATGGGGTGTTACAAGACAGACGTAACAAGGTAATTTATGGGGTGGTACAAGACGGAAGGAGCCAGGTAATTTATGGGGTGGTACAAGACAGAAAGAACAAGGTAATTTAAGGGGTAGTACAAGACAGAAGGAACCAGGTAATTTAAGGTGTAGTACAAGACAGAAAGAACCAGGTACTTTATGGGGTGGTACAAGACGGAAGAACCAGGTAATTTATGGGGTGGTACAAGACAGAAGGAACCAGGTAATTTAAGGTGTAGTACAAGACGGAAGAACCAGGTAATTTAAAGGGTGGTACAAGGCAAAAAGAAGCAGGTAATTTATTGGGTGGCACAAGACAGAGGGAACCAGTTAATTTATGGGTTGTTACAAGACAGAAAGAACAAGGGAATTCATGGGGTGGTACAAGACTGACGGAACCAGGTAGTTTATGGGGTGGTACAAGACAGAAGGTACCAGGTAATTTATATAGTGGTACAAGACAGAAAGAACCAGGTAATTTATGGGGTGGTACAAGACAGAAAAAAAACAGGTAATTTATGGGGTGGTACAAGACAGAAAGAACCAGGTAATGTATGAGGTGGTACAAGACAAAAAGTAGCAGGTAATTAATGGGGTGGTACAAAACAGATGGAACAACGTAATTTATGGGGTGTTACAAGACAGACGTAACAAGGTAATTTATGGGGTGGTACAAGACGGAAGGAGCCAGGTAATTTATGGGGTGGTACAAGACAGAAAGAACAAGGTAATTTAAGGGGTGGTACAAGACAGAAGGAACCAGGTAATTTAAGGTGTAGTACAAGACAGAAGAAACCAGGTACTTTATGGGGTGGTACAAGACGGAAGAACCAGGTAATTTATGGGGTGGTACAAGACAGAATGAACCGGAATGAACCAGGTAAATTATGGGGTTATACAAGACAGAAAGAACCAGTTAATTTATGGGGTGTTGCATAGCACTTATAGTTATTCAGGTAAATTGTTTTTCGTCTAGAAGTCGTAAAGACACACACACAGCTATTTCCTTCTATATATTAGAAATACTTTCCTTTTACTAATTTTTCAATCGCTCGTCAGAAGCCTATGTTTCCGTGATTTTTTTTTTCGTTGACGATATCCTCACCTTCACCTAAAACTAAACTTATTAATAACCTATCCTTTTCACGTAGATGTTGAAAGTGACACATATATTGGTCCTTTGCGTTTACTCTTTGATGAGATACCACAAGATAAATTGTGAAAATTATACATCGTATCACGCCCTTCAAAAACCTCTTCGCTTGAAAAATGTTAAGTAGCTTAGAATTAATTATATATTGAATACGAGACAAACCCGTAACCCTTTGGGCTCATCCTTCGCGAAATATATCTAAGATGGGAGAAGGATTATAATTGAATTCGTTTTCTTGCAGGTTACTATTCCTTATGTGCAAAAGTGAATTTTTATTTTGAGCCAATGTATGTACAGGAATAAAAGAGAGCGCCATAATTATCATTTGATGAGTATCTCCCCGCTTTACGCTAGATTTGCACGCAAAATAAGAGACAGTCAACCAACTTTATATATATTTAATTAATTTTCAAGCAATCGAGTGGACACATTTGAATTTTATATATCAGATAATGCAGCACGCTATTTGCATAATGTAGTTCTTGGAATAGGATTATTATTTCCCAAGTCGAATATTAGAAAGAAGTCCCGAGATAGAAGACTTGTAATCTTTTGATTGCTAGCGTAACTAAAGATATTTAGGATGCAATAGTAATAATAATGATAACGCGAACATTTCATTACGGTAGGCAATGACGAGTTGTATCAATGTACTAGACATAACATTGTAGCAAACCTACTGTGGGAAAATGAAATAAAATCGATAAATAAAAATAAAATTTGTAAAAATAAATACATTTTCCCATGATACTAATCGTAAAAGAATTAGAAATATTATTCCCCCACTTGGCTTCGTGAAACGCCGATAGGCGGCGCTCTTGAAGTCTATGAAAAGATAAACATTTCCTGCTTTACTTCTTTTCTCCACATTTGTTCCAGAATATATCTGAATGTAGGAAACGGACTTTCCCGCTGGGGTACGTTAGTTTCCCCGGTCCACTAATGTCTCAGTCTGCCTTTCCACTTTCCAACGCGTGGCTACTAAAATCACCACGTATGAAGAAGGTCAAGCTTTCTCTTTGGTTGTTCCAACTCTGTGCAACGCTGACTTGAGTTCGACCATTTTTAACCCTTCTTATCCTTGCCCCTAACTTATTTCTGGATCGAAAAGAAAGCGGACAGAGCCAAAAGACATTGAGGACTTTGTTTCTTTACAGCTAATATAAAAAAAATAAACGGTCCGTAGTAGAAACCCAAGTTTTTGCATGCTTCGTCTTCCTTTGTCATACACACCAATCCGCACACACACGCGCGCACACACACACACCTAAAAGACACACAAACGCACAACCTTTTTAACTTCCATAATGCTATATGTTACCTGAGATCATTTATAGTAATAAAGAAACTTAAAAATACAGTATCTATCTATATTTCTGAGATGAGGTATTATGTACATTATTTACATTATTCAGACTCTTGTCCTCATCTTTATCACCATATTTATCACAACGTTTCGGCCTTTCAGTATTCGTCTATATTTCTGAGATGAGGTATTATGTACACAATTTACATTATTCGGACTATTGTCCTCATCCTTGTTTCCATATTTATCACAACGTTTCGGACGTTGTACGCTCCAGCCTTCTTCAGATGGCTGGAATGTCGACCTGAACCCTTTATTTCGCTCACTGTGGTAAACTGTTCTAGTTCCACGTGACATGTCTATTGGATGTCAGTTATCAGTTATCTCCTGTTAATTCCCCTCTCCAATATCTTCATTGCCTTGACTAGGTATTGAACTCACACCCTTTGCAATATGAGCTCTGGTAAAATTATGATATGATAAAGACAAAAATTGCAATATGAGCACTGGTAAAAAGGTTGCTGAAAACATTAGGCTTATAATACCCAGAAAGTCATACGCAGATATTCTCAAGGACACATGGCACAGTGGGTAAAGTCGTTAGTTAAATCCAGTGACGGGACCCAAAAGAGTGTGAGTTCACTCCAAGTTCTCCACTGCCTTTACCGGGTATTGAACATACCCGTTAAAGGCAGTGGAGAACTTGGAGGGGGGAATTAACAGGAGATAATTGATAACTGACATTCATTGAAAAACATGGCACGTGGAACAGTCTACCCCAGTGAGCGAAATAAATGGTACACCTGAAGAAGCGTACAACGACAGATACGTTGTAATAAATATGGCGACAAAGATGAGGACAATAGTGCGAATAATGATAATAGTGGACCTAAAAATACAATTATATTTTATTTACTTCTACAGGTCAGAGATAATTCATTCAATGTCGCCAGGAAATACGTTCTTAACTAGATTCGTTGTCATTAATGTGACGCGTCCTCGTTGACATTACTGTGGCCGTGTCTCAGCTTTCCTTTAAGCTTAAATGGGACATCATGAGATATTTCAATTATCTCCCTTACTGTCCAATAATCTCTAAAAGGAAGCAATAACAGAAGTTAAAGTGTACACTTATTCTCACTACTTCCGGAAATGCTAAAAGAGCCACTTGATAAAATAAAGACCTTCGACATAACATGACATAATTTTGTTAGACATCGTAGACGTCTAAATATAGACTATTTATCGGCTATAATAAGGTTTTCCTTTTTTTATTCTCTCTTTTTTAGAAAACGGAGTAAAAAAAATTCTATTTAAATTATATGTCGATTAACAATGAAAAAAAACGGCCAAAAGACTTTTGATGCTAATATGGATAGATGATGATTTTCTAAGAGCAGCGTAGATGTGGCACAAGGTCGAATGTATGGGGCACCCTATGAGGATTGAACTTACTACTCATTATTGATCTTGCAAGACAATCTTTCTAAACAGCACACCGCGTCGAAGTACCAAATATGATTTTCTAAGCGTTGCTTATATGTAACGCAAGGCCGAATGTATGGGACACCCAGTGAGGATCGATCTCTCTAAGCCGTAATTGATTTAGCAAGACAAGCTTTTTAACCATTGCCCCACGTCGAAGTGCACGCGTTAATATGGATGAATGAGAGCTGAAAATTTCTCATGCATTTGAAAACAACTTTTTTAGAAGAATCCCAATTGTAGATTATTATGTCAGTCACATTTCAACTTCGACTACTCTTCTGTCTCTACCGTATGTGGACACAGACAAAGAGAAAAGATTTCTTTATGTAAGAGTTATCATCATTACCAGCTGTTCCTGCACAAATTTATTTTTAATCCTTTCAGCTCAAGCAAGGCAATAAAGCCACTAAGGCACAGGGAGGTTACCGAAAGAATAGGGGAATAAAGAAAAAAACATTATTAACCCTTTTAGCCCCTGCGTTCCTGAACAATTTTAACCCTTCTTCTGCCTGATCTCCTGAGTCAAAATTGGCAAATCATTTGTATGTTATTTTGCGGCTCAGAGAAACCTATCGGGTAACCAAGACCAACACCCACAAATTTCAGACATTTACCAACCAATGTCCCAGGAACATCTTCAATATCAGGTGCCCAGAAAGTCGTCTCCAATGTCCAAATGTGGAATAGGACCAGACAAACTCCTGCTTCTAGTGTCACCAGGCAGACCTTTGACTGGAATCCACAAGGGAAGTCATGTCCAATGACCAACTGTGGGACAGGACAAGACAAGCCACAATCGAGATTGACATCAAGAAATGGAAATGGGGATGGATCAGTCACACACACTGCAAGCCTGCTTCGAGTGTCACCAGGCAGACCTTTGACTTGAATCCACAAGGGAAGCGAAAAGTGGGTCGATCAAAACAGACTTGGCGCAAAAGTGTTGACGCAGAGGTGAATGCAGCCGGCACGACATTGGCTATGCTGAAAAGGATCGCCAGGAACCGCGTCTGTTGGAGAAGTGTTGTTACGGCTTTATGTTCCCCAAGGTATCAAGAGACATAATAAAAAAATATTTCACGGTAGATATAAAAATAGTTACAAGTGTTTACCCACCGTTCAACAGATAACTTGGCATTAAGTCATTTTTCTCTACCACTGTTCAACCGGTGGCTGGGCATTGTCATTTTTTTCTACCACCGGTAAAGCGGTGGTCAGGGATGCAAGGGTTAAGGAGAGAGATCTATAAACAAACAAAACTTACTACACACGATAACAATTAGCGTTACGTTTAAATTTTGAAGGATCAAAGTTGAGTTGAAAGCAACAAGTGCGAGATAAGAAAACTATTAGTATAGAACTATTTCAACTGCTACAAAATGGTAACTGAAATTGAAAATCGAGAATGTTGGCTGTGGTTAAGGAAAGTATCAGTTGGACTAGGGGCAGTTGATATTTATGTTTGTTGATCTCTGGTCAAGGGAGACAAATGTCTTTCATGCGGGTGGGCAAAATGTATCGAAAAAATCATATCGAATGTAATGGCGTTAAATATGAAGAAATTCAGTGATGGCCTTTCAACTTTTCGATCATTTATTCGATCATTTTACGCTATTTTTATGGGATGGGTTGGTGGGGGTGGTGGGGTAATTGTTTCTTTCTAAGAAAGGCGAAAATTCCACTAAGATGCAAAAGGGTTAAAAGACATCGAGAAAACGTTAGTGGAGAGAACAATCAATAAATGAACAGGATTCAGGAAGACAGAAAATGGCGATTGATGTTGTATTTAAACTTTTGACGCTCGTAGGTGACAGGATGTTTTTGATTATATTAGTTGGACCAAACATTTGTAGCATCTTTAAATAGGTGGCGCTTGAATACGTAATTTCGCTTCAGATGTGAAAGAATCTTCTGGTGGATTTTAAATTTAGCCCACTTCGAGTAAATCGTTGCCTTTCTGTATAAGTTCGTATACCGTATTGTGCTACTAATATTGTTTTTATTATCGGTAATATTCGATATTTTTTTTATAAAGGAGTTTCTTGTTCTAAGCTTTCGACTCACATGAGCCATCTTCAGAATGGTTATACGGTCATTTTAACAAAGATATTCAACATGTTGACATAAAAGATTGCTATGCGACGATAACAATAGAGGAATATATTATTTTCATACGAATATTAGAACGGCCCATGACCAGACATAACAGACACTGATTGTCTGTTATATTTAACAATATATGTTTAAATAATGATCTGCTGCCCCAATATATATATATATATATATATATATAAATATATATTTATATATATGTAGTCTCTCTCGTCCCATCTATCTCATTTTCTCTATTTAAAATGTACGATGGCCACGTGGTATCAGTATATCGACTTTCTATTCGTCTGCTTCTCAGCCAAGTTTGCAACGCGCGATTCACTCAATTATGGGAGATTTCATATCAGAAAGATGAAAATAAATCTTTGATTCCTGTATCCGCTGGGGCTCGCTTCCATAGTTATCTCGAAAATGAAAAAGAAATACAGATGAACGAAAAAGAACCCCTACTCAGCGAGCAATCAGTCTAGTGCTTAAAAGATCCACAATAATACACAGTCGGTATTCAGCGTTATGCGATAATTCTCTCTCTCTCTTACTTCCCCCCTCTCTCACACTTACCCCATTACTCTCGCTCTCGCTCGTGTGTTCTCTCTCTCATTCTTTCTCTATAACACACACTCTCTCTCTCTCTCGTTTGCTCTCTCTGACACTTTTCATTCCCACTCTCTCTCACTTTTTCTATCACTCTTTCTGGTGCCTGCCCTCTCTCCCTCTCTTGCTCTCTCTCTCTCTCTCTCTCGTTATTTATCACACTCTCTCACTTGCTTTCTCTCGCGCGCTTTTTCGCTCTCTCACTCATTTACATTCTCCCGCGCACACCCTCTCCCTTCTCTCGCTATCTCCCTCACTTGCGCGCTTGCTCTGTCCCTCTCTCACACACACACACTCTCTCTCTCTCTCGCTTGCTCGCTGTCTCAGTATTTCTCTATCTCCATCTCGCTTCCTTTCTCTCTCTCTATATATATATATATATCGCTTGCCTCTTCTCACTCTATCACGCGCTTGCTCTCTCTCACTCTCTCTTTCACTCACTCTTTCTCGATTTCTCTCTCTCTATCAGTCTGTCTCTCGCTCCCTCTCTCTCTCTCGTTCTCTCACTCTCGTTCTTTCTCTCACTCTCTCTTGTTCCTTCTCTTACTCTCTCTTTCTCGCTTTCTCTCTCTCTCTCTCTCTCTCTCTCTCTCTCTCTCTCTCTGGATGCTTTTAAATTGATTACTGAATCAATTTTCTTAAAAGACTGTATTGCTCAGCATGTATTTAATCGGAACAGCTTCGAAGAGCACAAGACCAAATTAGGAGTAATGGCTGTCGAGAGAGAGAGAGAGAGCGATAGACCAGTATTTTAATTATATGAATGTCTGTTCCCCTTGAAAATCCGCTTTCAAAATTTTATATTTCAAATGCATCCGAACACTGACTAGTCATGCAGATAGAAAATATGCAACGACTACACTCAGTAAGCAGGGTAGGAAAACGATAATTTGTTATAAACAACCTCACATCTGTTGTAAGCGGTCTACAGATGACGCCATCAGCACCTCGAAACATTAGTTAAGTTTATAAGTTTCCAACCACCAAATGCTCCCAAAATGGAGAAAAAGATAAGAAATTACTTCAGATTCAAAGGTTTCATCAATGTCAAAACAAAAACCAGCTTACCGTTTTGAAAATTACGCACATATACGTACCAACACTGAGTCGTATAAGAAAGCAAGTACCATATTTTCCGGCTTACAAGACGCACTTTTTTTCTTAAAAAGTACCCAGAAAAATACGCGCGTCTTCCAAGACGAATATAAGGCAACGCCCAGTAAGCTTGGGCGGTCACCTAATTGGCTTGACTGATAGGGACGTGGATTCGTAGGTATTTGTATTATTACACTATAATGTTAGCTATTTATCTAATTCAGCCTTTTATATGATATAACCTCATTACTTAGCTGTTACAAATATTTCTAAGACTATAAACCTTCCTGGAGCCGAGCCACAAACTTAAACATATTCTGTTTACTAGCAGCGGTCAGAGGATTTCTGCTCTTGACAAGTATGTCATTGCCATACAAACAAAATCGGACGAGTGATTAATGTAAACAATACATGGTGCCAGTATGTGAGGGACGCATGGTGAATGTCTTGTTGTATGAAAATGACTTTTTTTTTTCTTAGAAATTTTTTCCAATATTAGGGTGCGTCTTACAACCCGCAGCGTCTTCTAAGCCGGAAATACGGTAATCTCTTAAAAATTATGAAACCTTGCCTGTGCTATATTAGAATTAAGCAAAATTGTATCTATAGATTCTTGATAAAACCGGAGTCCTGGGTGTGACGATAAACTTCATCTGGCCACAAGGCATCTGATCGGGAGGTCTTGAGGAGCGTGGAACTACCTCTTAATTGCTGGTGTTCCTAGGTCCACCCTAACCCGTGGTGGTAGCACCTGTTATGGTCCCAGCTATGGGTAAATAGTTAACCCCCCACCCAAACTGGGGTCAAAGCTCCATAAAAGTATAACAATACATTTTTGAAAATTGCTCCCAAGAAAATTAGATTTCAGCATTAAATGACCCATAAGGAATCGATATGCCGCTAAACAAATAATTGACAAAAATGAAAGAAGAACCTGCAAAGTTATCAGTCTATCGCTTCTTCAATCACTTTCCCACTGCTATACCTTTTCTATAAATAATTTCATATTATTTATTTACACCATTGTTCGGACAGTCATGTTTATTGTTCGGCAGTTGCGCGTTCCCACGTACTTCAGGTGATTGGAATTTCAAACTGAACCCATTATTTCGCCCACTGAGGTAGATTGTTCTAGTTCCACGTTCCATGCCTCTTCTGGATATCTCAGTATCAGTTATCTCACTTTAACGCAACTCTCCAGGTTTTTGTTCACCTTAGCTGTAGCCAGGTACTGAACTTATAACTCTTTGAATCAAGTAACTGGATAAAACCGATGCTTTTATACACTGGGCCATGTGACATTGAGAACGTCGAACTAGAACAATCTACCCAACTGGAGCAAATTCCAATTACCTGAAGAAGGCCGGGGTGTACAACACCCGAAATGTCGTAAATATGGCAACAAAGATGAGGACAATTATCCGAACAATATAAATAGTGTAAATAATTACAATACCTTATCTCAGAAATATAGATAGATCTAGAAGAAGGCCGGAGTATACAACGGTCGAAGCGTCGTAAATATGGCAACAAACATGAGGACAATTGTCCGAAAAATGTAAATAGTGTAAATAATTACAATACCTCATCTCAGAAATATAGATTAATCCTGAAGAAGGCCGGAGCATACAACGATCGAAACCTCGTGAATATGGCAACAAAGATGAGGACAACTGTCCGATTAATGTAAATAGTTACAATACCTCATCTCAGAAATATAGATTAGTAACCGTTTAAGATTAACATGAGTCAAGGTCACAAACATGGGCCCCTCCCATTGAATAATAAACTCGTTATAGTTGTAATGATCTGATAGAGGACTTATTAACTCCTGCTCCCCGAAGAGATTCCCTGGCGATACTTGAAGTTACTGACTATTCCACCGGAAGATAGCTATGGGAGCTAACATATATTTTGTTCTTCTACGCCAACTTCTTCCTTTCGTAACAAGCGCCCAAAGGAGCGAGGGATTCGTTGTCGGAGGCAGCCCAGTTGTACTCGTGGGTGCCTCACAAGCCCAGATAGCTGAATCGGTTTTTGGTTTTCTTCGATGGATTTCTCGATAATGCATTTTTCATCGACCCAACAAAGAAGAAGGGTCGCTATGTACCCGATAACCCTAAACAGCCAAATCCCTACCGTATTCAATTGCGTTATCAAAACACGCGAAGAAATTTTATCCATCGTTCATTTGAAGTTGCAGCGATGAGACGATAGCGCAGGATTGTATTACCGATACTGACTAGTTTTGTTCAACCCCAGGCGAAACTGGGTGATATGAGTAGATAGATTGTGTTGCGTCAAAGCAACGAAGAGAAATGCCGGACTAAACATTTAGATTCTGTCTGAATTTTGGGGATAAAGACTTATCATTATTTGCATTCAGATTAATATCCTCATCTTTGTTGCTATCGCAACATATCAGCCGTTGGATTGGTTGCTTAATTTTGTTTAGCGGCATATCAACACCTCTATGGGTTATTTAATGCCAAAATTTGAATATTTTAAGCACAATTTTATGGCTTCAACTTCGAATAAAATGTATTGTTCGTAATTCTACTATAAAAATGTATTGTTGCTAATTCTACTATAAAAATGTATTGTTGCTAATTCTACTATAAAATGTATTGTTGCTAATTCTACTATAAAATATATTGTTGGTAATTCTACTATAAAAATGTATTGTTGCTAATTCTACTATAAAATGTATTGTTGCTAATTCTACTATAAAAATGTATTGTTGCTAATTCTACTATAAAATATATTGTTGGTAATTCTACTATAAAAATGTATTGTTGCTAATTCTACTATAAAATATATTGTTGCTAATTCTACTATAAAAATGTATTGTTGCTAATTCTATTATAAAATATATTGTTGGTAATTCTACTATAAAAATGTATTGTTGCTAATTCTACTATAAAATGTATTGTTGCTAATTCTACTATAAAATGTATTGTTGCTAATTCTACTATAAAATGTATTGTTGGTAATTCTACTATAAAATGTATTGTTGGTAATTCTACTATAAAATTCAATGATCATTTTTTTTATAAAAAATAATATTGTTAGAAACTTTACCATAAAAATCTATTTTTATACTTTCCTATAACGTTTTTCTTTAGGTGCTACCACCGCTGATCAAGGTGTACCTGGGAACAACAGCAATCAAGACGTGCTTCCACGCTTCGCAAAACTTCCAATCTTTCGATCAGCTGCCTTGCTGCCGGATGCAGTTTATCGTCATACCCAGGACAACGACCGTCGCGACCTCCGGTTAACCTTTAGGGAACTTCGATTTGAACCCTTTATTTAATCTATGGGATAGATTATTCTCGTTCCACTGTCCATTTCTAGGGATATTTACTGTTGTTATTATTTTAATATTACACAGTTATTGTTCGTGTCGTTTCCACTGATCCTAAGTACGCAGAGCCTGGCCCAGGGATTGAACAAAATTACTATATCACAAAATTCACGAACCAACAGGACAATATCTTAATGGGTGAAGTGGGACGAACAATAACTAAACGAGATATCCCTAGCAATGGAACGAGAACAATCTACCTACCCCACATAGTGTAAATGGCTGAGCTCAAAATTCCCTGTAGGTCACCCGTGTCAACAAGCACCCGATGAAGCCAAAACGGTGATAATAACAACTAAGATGAATAATAATAACTCTTCACCCCAGAAATTCCGACAGAAACAATATTGTTTAGTTTATTATTCAGGAAGTATTGAACATAAACAATGAGTTGCAAGACAAGTTGTTGGTATATTTTTGTTGTCAGTCTTTAAGCTATGTGGGACAATAGGCCAAATAAAGAGGTAAGTTGATAAGAAAAAAACATGATTAATGCCTTGACTGAAATCTTTAAACCTGAGAAAATAAATTCGGAGTTATTTTGTTTTTTTGTTGTTTTTTTTTGTTTTTTGCCTTTGGTTTTTTTTGTTTTTTTGTTTTTTTTTGTTTTTGTTATGGGACCTTACCCATAATAACATAATGGACTATTCCATACGTAATAAATACTGCGCCTCAAGAGAAAGCAGAGAGTTCAGCCCGAAGTTCGGCGATCGGCTGATCGGCTGAACTCTCTACCTTCGGACGGGGAATCTCTTTCGGGGCGGAATCTCTTTCGCGGAGGTAAACGGACCCTGAACCCGTTTATACGGGTTCAAACGGCATATTTTTGGCCGAGCCCACAGGCTCGGATATCCCACGTTAAAACGGCATTGTGCCACATGATAACCTCGTGGAGGGGGGTGACTAAATACCGTTCAGCCTGAAGTCGGGCGACTGGCTGATCGGTTGAACTCTCTGCCTTTGGGCGGGGAGAAACCCGAACGAGGCTACGCCGAAGGCTGGAGTCTTTTTCGGGGAGGTAAACCGACCCTGAACCCGTTTATACGGTTTGAAAGGGCATATTTTTGGCCGAGCCCACATGCTCTGAGATCCCACGTTAAACCGGCCTTGTGCCAGATGATGCCCTCGTGGGGGGGGGTGACTAAATACTGTTCAGTCT